CCACATCTGTGCGGGATTCAGAAAGTGTTGAACTTGTGAGTGTTGAAAAGAGAGAAGTGTATATAAAAAAAAAGAGGTTGAGCACTGTTATAATGCTCAACACAAGTCAACAAAACATAATCACATGTTGAAGTTTCGGCTGTTAAATGTTTTTTGTAAACTTTATAAATACTGAGGTTGAATGTACCTACTTTCAAACTGTGTCGATGCTTACATTTTGGACAATGGCGGCATCTGACTGACAGACCACAGCCAAATCGAACCAAAACATGATTATTTTCCACAGGGCCCAAACTGACCTTAAAATTGCAGCATCAATGCTATTGATTGACAAACCTCGTCAGCCCCCCGTTGATAAATCATGGTCATTTTGTTCGGCACAATTCCTCCTAAACTCACCTTTTGGAGCAAGCTTTTGTGCTGCGCGGAGGACTCGTGCTTTATTTGTCACTGTCCTGTGTGCCATCTATAAAACGTTACGACAATTTCACCTCTTCCTCGTCTCTGCGCGGCCCTCAAAAACCGGCCATTAACATTTGAAGCAGAGGAGAGCGAAAAAAACGAGTCCAATTGGTGTTCCGCGCCGTGCTCTGGTCTCGATTTTCTATGGACGGCAAAGCTTTGGAGGACCATTAATTAACCTTAGTGCTATGATTACTACTTACATTAGAAGGGAATACATTAGAGGTGGCAGCGGGCCCCTGTACTTCAGAGAGGCCCCGGCGGAGCGCTCCATGCCCCCGCGAGCCAAGATATGTTAACGGGGAAGCAACTAATTAGATGTCAAAAATTCATAAGGCCGCTATTTAATATTGCATATCTATCCCCGGCCTGTCACTTCAAAACAAGGGGGATAGCATAAACAGGGCAGCAGACACATGGGCGGAAAGGGGAGGGATGGAGGGAGGGACTGCCGGTGCGCTTGAAGGTGAAGAAGGAAGGAAATGAGATGAAGAAGAAGAAAGGGGGACACAATCAAAGTAGAGTTCCTTGACAATTCCCAGCGAGGAGCACTTTGCCACATTACAAGTCTAGTCTTCTGCTGAGAGGAACTCGGAGCATCACACAGAAAGAAAGTTTGTCCACCTTCAGCCTGAACTTTGGCTTCATGCGGAAGTTGTGCAGAGCTGAGGGTGAGACTTGGAAAAAGCATTGATAGTGGAGTACCAAACTTTTTCACGTTGTTCGCCCAAAACATAAAAAAGTCTGGATGTCATCTGATCATAGGTGAGAAAGGCCATGGGTCACCCCTAAACAGTCCCTCAAAAGTTTTCGAGTTTCTCAAAAGTGACTTCTGGGGCACGGTCAATGTCAGGTATTTAAGATGGACTGTGAAGAGCAGTTGCTCACAGACAGTCGACAGACAGGCGACAGTAGCTCAGTTGGTAGAGCATTGGCCTTTGGGCCTGAAGGTCGTGGGTTCGAGCCCACCATAAGACCTACTTCACGACTCCCACTGCTGTCGTTGTGTCCTTGGGCAAGACACTTAACCCCACTTTGCCTGAAGCTCCCATTGAAAGATCTCAGCTCCTGTGGACTCACCACCTGCAGGAGGATCAGTGAGGGGCTGGTGCTAAGTGACTGGGTGCAGCTCTGACTGCCACCCCCCCCGACCCAGAAATGGATTAAGGGGAAGAAAATGGATGGATGGATGTATTGCATAGAAAGTCCAAAGGGCATGGATCAGTGGAAATGCATAGTCTCACTTGCTTTTAAAATCATAGGCCAGAGAATAAACAGACTTACCACGTGCTTGTGTGAAATGTCGTGAAACAAAACCTGCTGTATTCTTGTTGTATTTTGAATGCTTGTAAAATAAAAGTAATGTATAAGCCTGGGTCCTGGGCCTCTCTCAGGTCTCTCACCATTTTCACACTTTGTTTTCAACTTTATTGTGTTTTGTTGATGCAATAGGGAAAAAGGACAGCAATGGGTTGTTTTATTGTAATTAATATTGAATTAAATTGTTACTTTTATCTGATAATGTATGTGATTTATGGTTCATCTACTTTTGTTTTACTGTGACATCAACCTGCATGTGGATCCCTCATGCAGGTTGACCTGCATGAGGGATCCACCTGGCTAATATTTATAGTTCACAGTCCCTGTAAAAATAGAAATTGAGGGTGGTTCAGTTCTTTTCACTTTTTCTGTGCGAAAAAGCTGATCTCAAGATATGACAAAGGTAAAAAGAATATAAAACTTGTGACAGAATCAACATTTTGAGAGTGAGGAACTGACTAGATGGACTGGTCGTCCCGCTCCCAATGGTCCAATGGCTCTTATGTGTTTGGATGTTGTAAATTATTATTGGATATTATAAAAGTCCTCAGAGATGACTGCTGTAGGGCTGTACAAAAAACATTGAATTGAAATAGTCCTGTTTAAATCTAATTTAAGTGAGAACATTTTCCTTCAATTAATGCAGAAAATGTGCATGCTTCTATCTCTTGAGTTAGTGCTGTGAATCCAAACCTCTGTGCCATCATGAACTGACCTAATATTCAGGATATAATTTTCTAAGCACATTTAAAGTAGTAAATATAATTCTCATTCCAACCCATAATTGGTGTGTAGACTCCACGGAGACATAGACCTCCATTCTTTTAGATGAATGCTCTTTCACCACTTAATTTGGACATGTAGAGTGACTGGCAATAGAAGCCGCCTGTAAAACCACACTGAGATAGTTGCAATAAAGGAGCCTCAAACGTTAGCAGCAGTTTAAACAGATTTTACAAGAGTCAAAGCTTTAAAGTGCAATACATTCAAATAAACACATTTGCAGCTTAAACGAGTGGCTAAGCTTTTAAAGATACAAGCGGCATACAGTCTTCAAGATAATTAATTTTCTCTTTCTTTTGTGTAATCTTGACTCGTCTTTCACTTTAAAGGCTTTTTAAAGGCCCCAATAAAAGACAAAAGACTATTTTGTTTATTTGTGAGTTAAAAGAAATGTTTTTTGTCAGCGTTTACAAGCTAAGCCCTGGACGATTGGCAGTTTTTGCCTGTCGAGCTAATTTGAAGAGTTGTGCTTCAGAATTGCAGGCCTCAGAGAAGGACCGCTTTCTACTACAATCTTATTGAGTTTTGTCAAGTATTGTGTGAATTCATATTTTTACATTATTAATGAATGAGTTTTGATTAAATAAAAACATTCAATTTAATTTTTTGTTCAGTCCTAAATCGCAACAGCAGCCGTCTTGGGATTTTACGAGGTTGTCAATTCACCAACAAAAGATCAGAATTTCAAACAGTTCAAACCATAGACTATAAATATTAACAGACGTAGTCACGCCTGTCTCCGCCGTTGAAACTAACGTGCCATCACTTCTAGGTTAAATAGGGCCTTTTCAAAATGGCAGCGGGCAGCCGCATGTGTTATCCGGCACCAGCCCCATTCATTTAACAAGTGCCTTCTGAAGTCCAGAGGCTAAACTAGAGTGGTCCAAAACAATATACTCCCCTCAGCATTGACACACATCTGGAATGAAGCTTTGGGCCAAGAGGCGACTTTTGGACCATCCTGTAAAGCCGTTTTTGAGAGGAAAGAAGACGTCATACAAAAGCAGTGGATAATTCTCTGTCTGAATTCTCAATTGTTTAATTTTTGGGCATTTGTCCTCTCACTCCACACAGAGATGGGAGCGGGGTCCCAGTACAGGAGGCGCATACCAGACCTATTGTACATATTTTTATATCCGTAAACCGGAGTACCCGGAGGAAACCTACGTGGACACGGGGAGAACACGCAAACTCCACTCAGAAAGGCCCTGGTCCAACCGGGATTCGAACTCGGTACCTTCTTGCTGTCCTTTGTATGCAAGGAACGACTAAAAAACCCAGTGGGAAAGAAAGTGAGTAAACTCTGGGAGGCCCATATGATGTAGATATAATTCTTGGATTAACAATTATTGTGCAGACAAAACACAATACTCAAAAAACTATTGAAAGCAATATGATTACATGTGCTGGAGATGAAGGAAAACACTGTACAACCAACGATGATGTCATCAATGACAAATGTCCAGTTTGAATACTTTCCATGATTATCATATGTTACCAATGCATTAAAGAATATTAAGAATTTCAAATCAAGCTATTTATGTTACTGAAAAGTCTGCCATGTTATGGCCTGATTTGTTCACAAAATGTTACTTAAACAATACTCTGGTGGGAAAAACAAAACTGAATACAAACTGTATTCATGAAACAAACAAAATAGTTATGAACCCCAGCTTTAAATGACTGTATAAGGTCCCAGGTAATCTGAATCTAATAGAAAAACCCAGTGGGAGAAAAAAGGTTCCCTCAGGGAGACCCACAGTGACCCACTCCCACTCCCACACCCACCCACTCCCACTACTCAGACCCACTCCCTCTCATTGATGGATAGGCCACAGATCCAAGACTGAGTTTGTCTTTTGAGACTTATTTTTGGCCAAATATGAGGAACTTCTGGCACAAACATTTAACTCCACCTCTTCTGTCTAAAAGCTCCTGTCTCAATCCTGCAATTGTATGATGTCATTGTTACCCTAATACATCACACTCAGAGCAGTTATTGGCTTTTTTAAACAAAATTATACATTTTGGTTATTTCTCAGGTGAAATGACAAAACAAAAAAATCATCCCATCTGGTGGTAGCATCTGGAGTTTCAGTAAGCAGACACCTTTTTAAAATATATTTCTGCTTAAGAAATTATAATACATGGAATTAAATGAGTTAAAATTATGGTATATTTTAATGGCAAAGCATCATATTCTGTCTTTATTATAGGTAGATTGAAACTGTTACTGTCTGACCTCAACCAATGGGAGCGCAGGCTGTATAATTGCACTTATCTCACTCTTCCCGTAGAATTCAGTCCTCTCTTTGTACCAGCTTTTGTAGATCAGCCGCGGACCAGCTCCGTGGCGGTGTCTTGCATACACCTGTATCTGCCGCAGACTGAATTAAGTGACACATACTGACTGCTGCTGGCCACTGACGCACAAAATGAGCCCGACGGCCGCGCAAAAGGTCAACCCCGCCACTGAAGAAATGGAGGGTCACATTACTCTGAGGTGAAAGCTGCCAAACGCCGTGAAAGGGACCAGACACGAGAGCTTTGTTATTTCAGCGACTGCATGTGAGGAGTGAGACATTTCTGTCAACGGAAACTAAGTTCTTTCAACGATGTGAGGAAGGACTGAGGATTCAAAGATGTATCGGGGTCATGTTTCGGCAGAAGGAAAATGGGTGCACACTTGAAACGTTGTAAAAATCTTTCGGGGGCCAGCAACCTATTTCAATACGACTTAATTTATGTACTTTAATGATCTCTAAATGCTATTTCACTAAAATTTCTTCACATGTCATTCTAGCCGCAGCTGCCTTTGGTCTGACTCACAAAACAGTCCAGTGTCCACAGAAACCTTCAACCGTCCATCAGTCTTCCTCAAACCATTTGTATGCATAGGGTTATTGAGGAGAATTGACCAAAGTTATGATATGCTCTTAGGAGACAATACATTTGTTAATAAATCCAAAGTTTTAGATGACAACCTCATTATAAGCTTCCATTTAAATGATTGACTCCCAATGATACTGTCTTCCCCATTTGTTGTGGTTCTGCTGTTTGTTGAGTCTATTTGTAAAAGTTACCCGTCATGCTACCGGTGCTAACTGTGCTCAATAGATAGTATCGAGCCCCGGTGTCAATAGGTTAATTGAAAATCAGCGAGTTTCTGAGAGACATGCACTCCCGATCAACTTTGTTCATTTAACTCTCGCTTAGTTGTGGAGATAAACATACTTTAAAAGAGAAAAACACATGCAACTTCATTTTAATTGGATGCTAATTTGCTTATTTTTTCTGTGGCTTGTGTTGGATCTGTTGTCTCGCTCTCTGAAAACCAAATGCTTAATGCAGTTGACTCTCGCAAAGGTGGAGATTGTATACCTCATTAATGTGATTTTAATTATTCCATAATTGTCTTCCCCTGGGTATATTAACCCAAAGCAAATGAGAGTCACCTGACTTTTTTATGGAATTAAGATGGCTCTGACCTCCTAATCTCATTCATTTTCAAATAGTTTTTAAATGAAGCGAGATAAAGCTGATGCACTTTGTAATTTGACGTGTCTGATTGCAGCTCCATGTGTGTGTTTCAGGAGGACTATTCCATTTAAAGTTCCTGCTATTGGCAAACAGCCAGACCCACCCGGTTCAGAGGTTGACAGACCGGCCAGGTTCAGAGCTAGAGCTGCCTGGTTCAGAGGTAGACCCGTCGGGCTCAGAGGGGTGAACACATCCATAAGTTGTGTAGGTAAAAGTTTAGCTGCCACATGATAGATATGGCTGTCCGTATTTGTTTATTTGGCACATAATCAGGTCTTCATGGACTCTTATCTCTCCCTGCGGAGGCACAGGCACAGCACAGATAAGAGTCAGATGCACCAGTTTGAGTTTGTGCGTTGCTCAAGAGCATGTGAGCAGTGTTATCAGCAGTGGCGTCGGGGGTCGCAGACAGCAGCCTGATTGTGCCTCTCACCCGGAGGATTTCACTCTCATCTCCATAAACAAGTAGACTCCAACTGTCTCACCTGGAGTAAAGCAATTACAGTGAAGTTGGGCGACTTGACGGCCTGCCAATCACTGCTCCTTCACGACTTTCCTTCAGAGCGCTTACTGCAATTATTTCACTCCTATTTTGTTGACACTTGCCTTTCAAAGGCGTTCTCACTACATTTTAAGAGCAAAGTAGCTTAATATGAAACCATGAAGAAGTCTTCAAAGCAAATGTATTCAGAGTGGAGTTTCCTTAAACTGTTGACAGTGGTGCAACAAACTCAAAGAGTTCATTTACATAGCGGCTGCTGCTAATGAATTGACAAGTATCCATTCGCCGTGCACTATATCTCACTTAACTGTCAGTGGCACATTAGCAGGATCTGCGCTCTAAAGCAGCTCCATCATTAAAACTCAGGCGCGGACACTCCACTAGCCTCATTTCAAAGTCACAGTGTCTGGACTTTAGTCTTGTTCTCCCCATTACACTGAAAAAGATCAGAAACTCTGCGTCTTCTTCAGGAGGCCATTCCTTGGAAGTGGTCCAGCACCTTCAAATGCTTCACCCCATTACGGAGCCAATCAGGTATAATGAAGCTGGGGCAAACTCAGCCAGCGAGCTCTATGAATTATTTAGGGGACTTGTCATGGCTGAGGCGCGGCACACGCAGGAGCAGGCGACACATGAAGGCTTATCCGGGGTGGGGAGACGCGCTAAAGCTGGTGACACCCTCCTCTCCTCACATCACCCAGGTCCACCTCCCACATCCGCTATGGTTCCACTGCTCAGTCCCCCCTCATTCTGGAATCAAACAACCACCCCCCCTAGTCCTCGCACCTGTCACCACCGCGAGACGGAGGGATGGAGCCCGCACCTCTTCGTTATAGCAGCCTCACACTCGGAGCTTTCAAACAGATTTGGGCTAATGAGGGAGCATTTAGAGTGCCGTATGCCCACATGGAGGAGGCTACGGGAGGGGTTAGAGCTGGGATGCACTGTACACAACATGCAGCTCTACCTACACCTTTCTCTCCGGCTTGTCAGCGCAGGTGAACAAAGTGAATAGGAAATGTGAGTGACAATAAAGATTTCTTTTAACATCAGTGAGCGGGCGGGGTGGGGGGCTGAGAAGGCGAAGGGTTTGGAGGGTTTTATCCTCGGAGACCGGCTGCGAAAGTTACTCCGAGGGTCCCTTCGGCTGCCATCTTTAATGACGAGGCCTCAGCGGAGGAATGGCACTCCGTCAGCCAAACCAAGAGCAAAAGAACCACACAAACCTATTATTTCAAAACGTTTTTCTTCTCTGCTGGCCCACACCCCCTCCCAAGTCTTTTTTATGCCTTTTATACGCAGGTTTTAATAGACACAGCTAAAATCCCAATGCAGTCTTCTTAAAGTTTTATTCTCCCACTTCTCCCTCACTCCGCCATTCCCCATTACGAAGCCAGCGACAGCAGCAGCAAAACAGCGCATTATTATTTGATATTATGAAAACATTCTTTCGAGATGAAGGCGAGGCTTTGGCAATATTTCCGTGGCACAGTTATAATGGCAGCTCAGGAGCGGAGACACTTCTGCAGTGACACTAATATCCTCCTCTGTTAACTGGGTGGCTCGGCTTATTTACCGCCTTGAGGAGTTTATTTTTCCGTTTTAACTGGTCGAGCTGTGGGAAAGTTGTGGCGGTGAACTGAAGGTGCATGTGTGGGATTGTATTTTGGCATGAAGAGGTAAAGTTCTGTTTGCAGTGGTTCTGCAATTACCAAATCCAAACAATGCAAAGTGCAACCTGAGCAGTTTTTAAAAGAAATATTCAAAAATATTGTATGACCTTTTGACTTTAATTCATACTTTATGCTGAATCCAAACATTTCAACAGTTCAGCTGAGCATGTGCAGTTTAGATAAACATGGGAATAGTTATAGACGCTAGGTCAACAATTTATTTTCTGACAGCTATAAGATTATTTAAGATGTGATTTTTTTTAAAGATGTGAATACACAAAGAATGGCAAAAATAGCATTTTTGTATTTTGTTTGAAAAATATACACACATAGGTCTGCAGCTGTACTATAGTAATAAAGTACTCTAACAATTATTATTAAAGGTATATGGGGGGATTTTCTTTTTCTGGATGGATCATCTAAATTATTAGCCCTCCTTATTGTCAATCATTCCAGTGAAATGCGACACACATTAAATTGGTGTTCCCTCTGAGGAGGGCGGTTCTTTCCTAAAGTTTGGGAAACTCCTCTTGTACACTATTAACTAACTTCTTACACTATTACCTGCAAGTATTATATGCATTTGATTTTTTATGGAAAATATTTTTAAACAAACAATCCTGAAATCTTTTTAGAAACATCAGTTATAATAGTTAGTCACTGTTATAATTATACTATAGATTATAATTATAATATAGAGAGATATACTTGATTGATCCCCCGTTGGGAGAAATTCAGGTGTCCAGCAGCAGAAGACTCATCCAGGTCTGTTGTACAGTCTGATAGCCGAAGAAACAAAGGATCTCTTGAAACGTGTCGTTTGGCAGCGCAGTGATAGGAGCCTGTTGATTCGATGACTCCTCTGAGCGGCCATAGTGTCATGAAAAGGGTGTATGGAGTTACCCAGGATGCCCTGCATCAGAGCACTCATCTTTCTCTCCAGTACAGCTTCACTCATGAAGCTCTTCGCGAAAGTTCACTGTGGTAGACCCGGCCACTGCTGCCAGATCTACAAGCCTGCTCATCCTCTACTCATTACACCAGCAAAACGCCCACATCTAATCCACCAATAACCACCAGGACAGCAAGTTAAAAGCCGGAGACGCCCACTTTCCCGGCCTTCTGAAGTTTGCAAGGTGCATATCGCTAAACGCACCTGTTCGCAAATGCATGCGTTGTTCTGGAGGGGTCGCTTCTGCTCACGTGTTGCTCGTGCGCGTGGCCCGGCTGTCCTCAGTCTGGCTGCTTGTGGTCTGCTCCTCCTTCGCGTCCCTGCACCTGCTGGGGGTCGCGTGTCTCCACTGCTTCCTCCTCTGCGGGCTCTTCTGCGGGCTGCTCCGCGGGGCCCCTCCGCAGGTTCTGTGCTGCTCGTTCCTCGTGGTCTGCTGCCGCGCGCAGACTGTCTGACGGTGCCGTGCATGTCCCTGCCTCCGATTGGCGGTGCCGCGTTGTCCCGTTGCTTTCCCAAGTCTCCTGGCATGTGAGTACAGTGAGTGTGCCGACCGCGGACGGATTAATCCCGGAGTCTAGGCTGCAGGCGGCTGGTTTTTGCCCAACGCAATTGACTGCAGGCTCCGTTTTCACACGTGTTTGAGCTAACTGAGGGGCAATGCATATTAAATGGCATCAATCTCTATTGTCTGAGGGATATAAGAGGAGCAATGTGCATAATTCAGATTCATGTTCTGCCACTTGCAGTAAAACCACGTTGGAAATATGTGCAAAGACTACCCCATTGTGCTCCAGACGGCACACACCGGAGCTCTTGCCACGGCGCCATCTTTACAGCATTAATCTCATTACTCGCAGGTCACTATTGTTAAATGAATGTATTTAAATTCGTCTATCTGCAGGAGGAAGGAGGGGCCATGCATTTAAATAGCTAGGTCACTAGTATTAAATTGGGTAACTAAACTGCAGTTGTTGCATTTTGAAAGTGCAGCAGAAAGAAAAAGGGCCCAATGTGAATCTGCAATGGGTTTGAAGTGGAGTTGGAGCTAATGAACGCATGGAAAAGTGATCGTTCATCAACCAAAGCAGCAAGATGGCTCCAGGGGACATCTGTTATTCGCATGGGAATGTTTCGGATTCGGGTTGATTTATTTCCTCAGGCTCTTAAACGACCATGGGCATGGTTCTCTGACCGCCGCTGCTGCGGTCCCTGCTGCCGTTCCTACTGATGCCTGATCCCGCTGCTGCCTGTTCCCGCTGCTGCCTGTTCCTGCTGCCGCTCCTGCTGCTGCCGCTCCTGCTGCTGCCTGTCCCTGCTGCCTGCTCCTACTACTACATGTGCCGCTGCTGCTGTTCCTGCCGCTGCCGCTCCGCAGGCTCCCAGGCTGCACCTGTCTCTACGGCTCGGCTCTTTCAGACACGTATGTAACCTGGCTCACGGAGACAAGCGGCGCACGCTGGCGTGACACGTCTGTTGTTCGTATGAATCGCATTGTGGTGCTACTGCTCCTGCTAATGCTGCTTCTGCTGCTTCATACTGCTACCGCTACTGCTGCCGCTAATGCTGCTATTGCTGCCGCTGCTGCTTCATACTGCTACTGCTGCCGTGCTGCTGCTGCTTCTTTTACTTTGACACCTCTCTTCACTTCGCATCTCTTTTACTGAAACACTAAACAGCTTCAACAATATTCTACTGCTGTGGCTTTGATACAGGATTATTGCTGTTATTATCTACGGATGCTGCAACCGCTGCTGCTGCTACTGCTGCTGCTGCTTCATACTGCTACTGCTGCTGCTTCATACTGCTACTGCTACTGCTGCTGCTTCATACGGCTACTGCTGCTACTACTGCTGCTGCTGCTTCATTTACTTTGCCATCTCTCTTCACTTGCATCTCTTTTACTGAAACACTGAACAGCTATAACAACATTCTACTGCTGTGGCTTAGATACAGAATTATTACTGTTATTTCTAAGGACGCTGCTGCTGCTGCTGCTGCTGCTACTGCTGCTGCCGCGGCTTGATACAGGACTATTGCTGTTATTATCTGAGGTTACTGCTGCTGCTGCTACTGCTACTGCTGCAACCCACTCTCTCAGAAGCTTATCCTGCTTCTAATGGATGCAGCCCGGCTGAGTATGCCGCGCTGCGCTGGACTCGCACCTATGATCCCAGGGTCGCTTCGGCGGTCGTGCTTCATCTCTCTACTTAATCTTCTGATTCTATCAGATGCAGCTGGCCAAGTAGCTGCGCTGAGCTGTCAATCGGACTCCTAATCAAAGGCATCCATACCTGTATTCTTCACTCTTCTGATCGCAGGCTCCCCCATCGTGCTGCCCATCCTGCAGCGGCGCTGAACTCCGGCTCATCTCCCAAGTACATGTCTGCCCTCCTCGCGGCATCTTCCTGCTCTCCTTCTATGGCTTCTCTGCATAAGCGTCTCACCATTGCTCACTCAACCTTCATGCGGTCCGAGACACGGCTTTCCCGACCATCCTACTATCCTGATTATCTACTCTCCAACCCAAGATTCTAAGCGTAAGGGCGCCTGCATCATCAATGGCCCTCTCCGATATGTCTCTGCCCCTACAGGTCTCCGCTTCTACACGGACGCTGCCCCTTCCGTGGGTTTTGGGGGATTCTTCCAGGACCATTGGTTTGCCGAGCGTGGCCGCTACTTTCCACCGGAGCATCTCCTCTGCCCTACACGTGATATTCCCAGTGGTCGTGGCCTGCGCGCTGTGGAATCACACGTGGCAGAGAAAGAGGATCTCTGTCATGTGTGATAATCTCGACGTAGTGGAAGCATTACACAAAGGTCGCTCTTTTTCACCCAACATAATGTCCCCTGACCATTTCAACCTCCGTCTCAAACGTTCAAAAATCAAAGGAGCCTGCAATATAGTAATAGCTCGCTCGGACACATCTCTCTGCCCCTACAGGTCCATGATGCGTTACACTCGCCTCCGCTGCAAAAAGGAGATCTTAACGGACCTCTATTTCTCACTCCAGACATTCTTCCCATGACAGCAACCTGGTTCAGAGCTCGACTAAGATCCCTACTGCTCCTCTGTAAATTGTCTCCCCAGCTCTACACAGCTCACTCCTTCAGGATAGGCGCCGCCACGCGCGCGGCCTCGCTGGGGCTCCCCCACACCTCTCTGCAACAGCTGGGGCGCTGGTCCTCTTCGGCTTTCTCCACCTACATCAGGCCAGACGCGTCCGCTATCATGGCAGCACAACGGCTACTGGCTTCTTCGTAAGCTCCCAGCAAAGCAATACAAAGCAAAGTAAGTGAACCAATAAGATTCTGGTGGCGGCACGCACTTCTTCAAAGATAACCCTGTTGCAGCGTCCGGTTGATCGTGATGCGAGTGCTCACGTCCCGGCGCTTAAAGATAACTCCACTGCAGCGTCTGGTACCGATCGTGATGCGAGCGCTCACGTCCCAGACAGCGTCCGGTTGATCGTGATGCGAGCGCTCACGTCCCGGCGCTTAAAGACAACTCTGCTACAGCGTCTGGTATCGATCGTGATGCGAGCGCTCACGTCCCAGACAGCGTCCGGTTGATCGTGATGCGAGCGCTCACGTCCCGGCGCTCAAAGATAACTCTGCTACAGCGTCTGGTATCGATCGTGATGCGAGCGCTCACGTCCCAGGCAGCGTCCGGTTGATCGTGAAGCGAGCGCTCACGTCCCGGCGCTTAAAGACAACTCTGCTACAGCGTCTGGTATCGATCGTGATGCGAGCGCTCACGTCCCAGACAGCGTCCGGTTGATCGTGATGCGAGCGCTCACGTCCCGGCGCTTAAAGACAACTCTGCTACAGCGTCTGGTATCGATCGTGATGCGAGCGCTCACGTCCCAGACAGCGTCCGGTTGATCGTGATGCAAGCGCTCACGTCCCGGCGCTCAAAGATAACTCTGCTACAGCGTCTGGTATCGATCGTGATGCGAGCGCTCACGTCCCAGACAGCGTCCGGTTGATCGTGATGCGAGCGCTCACGTCCCGGCGCTTAAAGACAACTCTGCTACAGCGTCTGGTATCGATCGTGATGCGAGCGCTCACGTCCCAGACAGCGTCCGGTTGATCGTGATGCGAGCGCTCACGTCCCGGCGCTCAAAGATAACTCTGCTACAGCGTCTGGTATCGATCGTGATGCGAGCGCTCACGTCCCAGGCAGCGTCCGGTTGATCGTGAAGCGAGCGCTCACGTCCCGGCGCTTAAAGACAACTCTGCTACAGCGTCTGGTATCGATCGTGATGCGAGCGCTCACGTCCCAGACAGCGTCCGGTTGATCGTGATGCGAGCGCTCACGTCCCGGCGCTCAAAGATAACTCTGCTACAGCGTCTGGTATCGATCGTGATGCGAGCGCTCACGTCCCAGGCAGCGTCCGGTTGATCGTGAAGCGAGCGCTCACGTCCCGGCGCTTAAAGACAACTCTGCTACAGCGTCTGGTATCGATCGTGATGCGAGCGCTCACGTCCCAGACAGCGTCCGGTTGATCGTGATGCAAGCGCTCACGTCCCGGCGCTCAAAGATAACTCTGCTACAGCGTCTGGTATCGATCGTGATGCGAGCGCTCACGTCCCAGACAGCGTCCGGTTGATCGTGAAGCGAGCGCTCACGTCCCGGCGCTTAAAGACAACTCTGCTACAGCGTCTGGTATCGATCGTGATGCGAGCGCTCACGTCCCAGACAGCGTCCGGTTGATCGTGAAGCGAGCGCTCACGTCCCGGCGCGCAAAGACAACTCTGCTACAGCGTCTGGTATCGATCGTGATGCGAGCGCTCACGTCCCAGGCAGCGTCCGGTTGATCGTGAAGCGAGCGCTCACGTCCCGGCGCGCAAAGATAACTCTGCCCGTTTTTGGGGATTATGCGCGCGAGCAAGCGCCGCACTCATCAGCATCTCTCCCGGGCCTAGGGCGCCAAACATACTCAATCAACAAACTTCTAACTGCATTTTCCCTCTTGGGTCTCTCCAAAGTGAAATAATTATACTAGATTTGAGTTATATTGTCATAATTATACTGGATTTTTATTATAAATTTGTGCAGAAATTACTACATTATTGATTATATAATATGTATAACTATTATTGCAACTTAGTAAGGAGCAAAATGTATGCCTTTCCAATATGTTTCTAATGGCACTATTTGCCAATTAGTTATTGTATACACATGTATTTGTATTATTGACTATTATCTCTGAGATTGCAGATTCTCCTTTTCAGGGGAATGCTGGTCCCAGAGACAGGGGGCCGGAGTGGGGTCGGGGAGGGTGTTACGGGTGACTAGTGTACATGACATTCTGGATGTTAGACGAAAGCGCTAACCTTACAAGTGCAAATAAATACAATTTTCATCAAGTTTTGCTTTTTTTTACCCGATGTATATAGTTACAGCTTTATAATTAGATTTAAAAGGAGTGGAATGAAGACAACATTCAATGCACCAGAAAAGATTTTAGTGCATTATTGAGTGTTTTTTCCAATCAGTTCTGCATACAGTATGACTCATGCCCCAAAGGCCAAACTGCTCTGGCAAAAAGCTGTGTATTCTCTTGTTGTAGTTCTCATGCTCTGATAAAGTCCAATACTTGATACCATAAGAGCATCTGTTGGAGTCATCAGTGAGTCAAGCTCTCGAATAACACCCACACAGAGATTAGGGTCATCCATCTTATTCATTGCACCTTCAAATTAGTGCTTATTGTCTCCTTGATTCCTCTCTCCGACTTCAAGTGTTGGGCCCGGATGGCTGTGTGCGTCTGGAAATAGTACAGGCGTTTGATTGTGCAAAGCCTCCCTCTCTTTCTAATTAGTGATTAACACATTCTTTTGTCCCGGCCTGTCTTTATTTATAGAGGCTGCAGTGCCAAACAGGAGATGCACGTGCCAGGATTGGACCAGAGCGCAGTGGAGGTGAGTGCAGAGTCCTGGCCACTTGATAAATAGAGTCGTGCGGTTCAGAGCTAATGGACTGATGGGGAAAACAGCATGTAGTGGCATTTCAAATAGGCAGCTCGGGCCGCGATGTGGTAAAAGTCCAATTGAAATAAATCTTTTATCTGGAGTCAATACAAGACTGTTAAGTGGGGGCTGTGTTGTTCAGGGCTACTGTATATGCGCTTTGGAGAGACTAAAAGAGAGACAATCTTGGCAGTGTGGTTATCAAGGATAGTGTCTGATTTAGTGAATTGGTCTCCTCAATGCAAGAACTTTTAACCAATTGTAACATTGCTTCACAAAGAGCTTATTCATACATGTTCAAAATGTTGCGACCCATCTTTAATACGTGAACAAAAGCTCCAATTGGAACGGCAAGGCTAGAGTGAGGAATTCCTTATAATGAAAAAAAAAAGTGTATTGTAAGCTGACATACAACATTTGTAATAATTGAAAAGTAGATTTCTGGGGAAGCTGGCCCGAGTGTCAAAATGAGAGGGCAGAACTCATATTACAGATGTAAATTAGAATATATATTTTAATTAACACAAGCGTAATAGACATTCCGGATCCTTGCATGTGTCTCCTGAGAGCTTTTTAAATCAGGTGGACCTGTCCGAAGCTCAAAATGGCTGGCTAAGACACGCCCTCTTCAGTAGGTATATAAAACATTAGAAAGTGGCATTGAAAGAGGACAAAGTATCCCACTTATTCACAAGATTTGATAAGATAAGGCAAATTTATTTATAGCACAGTTACACAAGGAAACTCAAAGTGCTTAATGAAACAAGATTCATACAAGGCATTAAAATCATAAATAATCACAACCCATTAATGCGAGTGAAGATACAATCCTTCCGTTGTACACACAGCTAAACAGAACTGTTTTATACCTGGATTGGAACTGTGTCTGAGACGAAAGCCTGTTCCAAATTTAAAATCTAAAGTTGCAGTGTTTTGAACATATTACAGCTGTTGAATCTTCAAGTCTGCTTTAGACACTGTATTTTTGATTCTGACAATAGTCTGTTGGTGCACACAGAGTACCTTTTTTGCAATTGTATTCCAATGTAGTTTTTATACTGCACATAGCTAATAAAATGAATCTGAATCTGAATCTGATCTGAATCTGATCTGAATTTTTTTAAGATGTTGAAGAGCTGCTGATGTTACTGATTTGTTTCGGCTATTAAAATGTAAGTCTGAGTCCATTATTACTCTGATTATCTTTATTTTTGATAACATTTGGGTTGCGTTTGACTCACCCATGCAGAAACGTGAATCAGGTGAGCTTGTAACTCAAAGGGCCATGTAAAAACCAGCGATTTCATGAGGAAAGTGTCCAGCCATACAGACTTGCCATTTGAGTTACCTTAGAGTGGGCGTATCCAACCTTTATTATCCAGAGAGCTACACTTGCCCATAAAACTTTCCATCCTCTAATTCAATCCTTTGAGAAGCTACTCGATTGGTTGGAGACCAATGTCCTAAAGTTGATCACATCAACAACAGGATTTAAGAATACAACATGATTGTGTCAATTTAATTATTCATCAGATAAATTGCATTTCCGAAAAAAAAAAAAAAAAAGAGTCTATGACTGCATCTTAGTTCCATTGATTAACTTTTGATATAGATGTGAGCAGGTGGCCATTGTTCCCAATTCTTCAATAAAAAATTACCTGAATAATTTGTTTTCCTTAAGTTTTCTTCTCTGAGCACTGCACATCTTGTCCAATGTGGATCTGATGTGTTTGATGTATCTCTATGTCACCTCTCCTTTAAAATCACTTTTCCTGTCACCCCCGCCCCCCTGCTTCCGTCCCATATGTGTGCGTGTGGTAATCAGGCTGGATGGCTGATTCTTTTCATAAATTTTAGTATCTCCTTATTTCAGGCATTGCTGCTCCTCGGCTGCCATTAGTCCCCCGCAGGCGACAGAGCCCGTCTCCCTTTGCATGCCACTCCTTTTATGAGCTTTGCCTTCGCTCACAGCACTGCTCCCTCTGACCAAATCTGTCATGGCCTGTCACCATGCCTCCCACTTGACTTTTATATATTTTTATTTTTCCTAACTGCCATATTGTCCTTCTTAAAGACACTTTGTAGAGCTGATTCAAGGCGATAACAAACTCAAACAGAGACCACGACTGGAAAACATACACATGGATATTGCAGCTTTTTGACTGCATTTATGGAATTGGGAGGTTTGGAATTTGGGGGCACATACTTTGGAGCAAAACATATACGACACGTGGATGCTATTTACTGTTTTTGGACAATAGGATGTTTGGTCCATGATATTGATCTTGATAAAGATCTCAGGTCTTTCCCTATCGTTTATTTTTATTTTTATAAAGGCATTCTTAGATTTTAGTTTAATTGCAGATACATTTTTGACTAGGGCCATAAAATGTTCTTATTTTGAATGAATAATGACGTAAAACCAGTGTCCAAAAAAAATGCATTATTATCATTATGATCAAGTTAAATCTGCGGAGAGGAGAGTGGATAGGCCCTCTATACTGAGAAACAATTCTTAATGGCAGTTTCAATGCATTTGAATACAAAGGTTGCCACAGTTGGTATAGAATGACTTTGTATAGAAGAACTACACTGGCGCTGGTCCACGTGCTTTTGCCAACTTTATAATCCTACTTGAAGTTGGGGTACCAAACTTTCAAACTACAACAAATGGAACAATGTACAATTGTCCCTGTAACTATTTAATTGCTTAAACCAGTTCTATCACTAGTTTTCTCGTCAAGTCAAGAGATAGCCGGATCATTTCTGTAGAGAGGAGAGCCGATCTACTGCAAGAATAAGATCTCTATTCTGAAGTACAATTCTTTATAGCATATAAATAATATACTGTATAGAAGTTTCAATGCATTTAAATACAAAAGCCATTGCCATGACCAGTAATAGGGCAATTTGGTATGAAGAAATTGACACAAGATGCAGAGGTCTGTGATTGTGTCTCAGCAGAAAAGGTTTCACACCTTTCACATGGTTTTATACCAAGACAACATATGATAGTTTCTCCCAGCATCTGCCACAATGACAGCAGATAAGTAAGTAGGTAAGTAATTTATTCATATAGCGCATTATTACAAAACAAGGTCTCCCAAAGCGCTTTACAATGTTCAGAGTTCATATATTGTTCCATTCTCTCTACACACGGTGATGACAGAGGCGAGACACCGAACACACTGGCGCATCAAAGCCCCCAACCAACACCATCCATTCACTCACTCATTACATTCATAACTACCGTGCATGTTTTTAGTGGTAGGGGAAACTGGAGTACCCGGACGACGGGGAGAACATGCAAACTCCACCCAGAAAGGCCCTGTTCCGACCGGAATTCGAACCCATAGATAAGTTTGCTTCAGCTCACAACATCAGGTCGAAAATCATTGACTTTTACATACTGTTGTAATGACCAGCTCCGTCTTAAAAATAAATGCACAGAAAGTCCTGTATACGATCCACAGTTAAAAGTCATATCTGTGGAGGGAGAGCCAATCCAGTGTAAAAATGGACTGTTTACGCTGAGGTAAAATTCTTTCAGAGGAATTTCAATGCATTTAAGTTAAAAATGAATTGCTGAGGATGTCACAAGACTTGCCATACAATGTACTGGGTCGGCCACGCTGTAGAATTACCCTGGGCCGGCGCTCGTCTCTCAGTGCTGTTGAATTGCCACTCGCTGCTGTCTTATCTCTCTGACCTTTTATTTAATTATGAGAAACTAACTCCGATTATTGTACACTGCACAGGACACACATGCGCATGGAGATGAGGTAAACAAGTGGACATTGTGCGCACTCGAGAGGTCGCAATCCAGATGTTTGTCACAATGCCATCTGCAATACCATAATTACATCAAAGAAAGTGGGTCAAAAAGATTCAAGAAAGTAATTTCACATTTTACGTTGTTTGTCAGTTGGACAATTTGAAGTTTTAGGTTATGTTTCAACTTTAATTATGCATAAAACCTTGCTCCGGGCCTGGCTTCATTTGGTTCAGAAAATAGATGTCATTGTAAACATTTAAACAGCTATTTTAAAATCCATGTAACTTATCATTAAGTTACATGCATGTATTTATGGTCTCTGTCACATCATCAGATCAGCTTCTTCAGACAGAAAACTAATGCTAAAGCGAGAGATTGTTTACATGCTTTTAAACTTGCTAAGAGTTAGAAATGTTATTTATTTCAATGTAAAATGATTGTTTATGTATCTTGTATCGTTTGCTCCCCATTCCTACTGTTCTGAAACTGGTGATGCAGCTCTAAAATGTCCCTACTGTGGGATTTCTTCATCTTAATTGTAACAAGAGAGGACCAGCCAATCAGCTCTCAGCTAAATAGCCAAACTCAAAACTCTCTTGCTTACAAGTATTCAAAAGATCTCATATGATGAACAGCGTATTTTGGTCTGATTTTTTCACTAATATTTTACTTTTACAGGACTCTTATGGATGTGTTATTTCAATAAAAAAATAAAAAAACAACAGTTGGGGAGTTAAAGTCATAAGATTTTGTGTTGTTTTACTTCCCAGTGCTCAGAATATTTCAATTTTCTCTTAGCCTCTACATCAGTATAGGAGGTCAATGAAGCAGTTTTGGGTTGGCATTGCTTTTTACGATGAACAAATTATAAATAAATGACCTTTGCAACTGTAACGCCTGTGAAATTAAACCAAACCAGGATTGTTGTCTCCATAAACAATATTTCTAGTCAAAAATATGAAAGACATCCCTCTCATTGTGGCATTGTAGTCTCAGTTTTTGTTAGTGATTGTTCCATTTCCTAAGAAACCCCACCGCTGCTGTTACACAATGCACAGGGCAGACAGCAGGTATAAATGTTTGAGGTTGTGGTGGAAAGATTTCTGACATCTGTGACAAGTGAACTGAAAGAAAAGCGACAAGTTCTTGACAAGCTGTGTACGGGGAAATTGAGCCA